GAATTCAGATATCGAGAGTGGATGGTATGGTTCGGCAACAGACATGAATTATGTCGAATATAAAAAGAATATAGATTTGGATGAAAATTGCACACAAGCAGGTACAAGTAGAGAAATAAATCAGAAAATAGACTCTAAAATTAATGTTGAACAAATAGATGATTATGAGGAAGTAATGAATAGTTTCAATAAAACTATAGAAGATATGAAGAACAAATTTGAAACAGATAAGACATATTTCTTACCGGCTATACAATCATTTGTAAATTCCTACCAAAAAAATGTTAAAACACATGCTAGTCTTACCTCAGCAATGGAGACGTTTGGTAAGTACTCGGGGTTAAGTCATACTTCCAAAAAACCTAAATTAGTTAGCAACAAAGAAATTGGCACACAGCCAACCGCTCGATCAAGAAGAGTAACTCAAATTGGAGGAAGAAAAACATTAACTGCGGGCAGATGTCCTAAATGGAAAAACGTGCCCGAGCATGGGTATAGTAGTAATAAACTTTCTTCCAGACAATTACCTCGAAAACCATTTAATCCTTCACAATTGCCTACAAAAACAAAAAAAATGCCACATTCTTTAAATTTTTGTGTAGAAGCAAATAAATCCGTAGGATCTACACACAATGCTAAATGAATATTTTACTTTTACTTTTTGTTTATACTTAAGTATTTTTGACTGATTGAATTATTTATTTTGGAACTATAACATTTTTATTGAATTTATTTTGACTATTTTGATTATAACACTTTTAATTTTTGACTAATAACTAATATGATTATAATTATTAATTTTATATTTTATACTTTTTACTTATATTTTATGTAATGTAGTCCATTGGATCTTACAACTCATGTATACTTTTTAAATAAATCTGTAGGAGCCATACATAGTGCTAAATGAATTTATTAATTATTAATATTGATTATTTTTATTTTTACTGATTGAATTTATTTTTTATTTATTTTAATGTAGTTAAGAGATATTTTGTATTTATTGTATACTTTCAGTCTATGTACGTAACTTAATCTATTATAGTTTACTAGAACAATGCCTAACAATAATCAAAGAAATCAAAGAAACAGCTCTCACTATCACTGTGTAGAGTCTAACTTTCATTTTCTGGAACAACATTATAGATTTTAAAAAACTATTATTATTTTATATACTACTTCTTTAACACAGAACACTTAAATAATACTTAAAAATAAATCAAAAAATTTGTAAAATCTAAAAAAGAAAACAATATATAATATAATAATAATATATCAGTCAAAAATGAAGTGTTCCAAATCATTATCAATCTACTGAACACGGTTTGCTAACTACAGTTGATAAGGTTTTAAATGATAATAATATATTGCGATAGTGGAGGGGGCTGGTTAAATGAGCCGACCATGACACGTTTTCAAATTACGCGTCCTAGCCCCTATAATTCAACTGGAAAAAAAAACAGTTTTATTAACTCATCCATGAGAGAACCTCTTATGGTTCTTTCTCTCTCGCATTTATCATGGCTTTGTAGTTCTCTTTCTATTCGCGGTCTATTCTATTATATGTCTAAGTTATTGACTAAAATAAAACATAAAACATAATAATATATAATGCATTTGAAAATCGTCTATTTTTCACCACAAGGCCGATGAATCGTCCGCTATACGACCAGGATCAGTGGCGGCGCGAACTTTTTGAGTCTTTGAAGCAAATTGTACATTTTTAATATTTTTACCACTAGCCATCCCCTTTATTACATCAAAATAATAATTAACTATGATGAAGCTGTGAAGCTATGAATTGCTTCAAATAGTATTATATCCCGCCGCCACTGACCAGGATGTTGTCTTTATTTTATTCTGTATAAGTATAACGACCAAAAGATAAAAAATTGTTTGCTGAATTAAAAAATATATTTTAAAAGTAGGTACTATAGGCATACGACGACAATAAAAACGAAATTACGACCTACGGGGCCGTCGGCGTCGCGTTAACGGCTGCCAATAACTACATACACAATATTTAACGCATTCAAAATCTGGTCACTTACCACCTCGTCTATGCCATGACCAGGAAATTTGCTTTTATTAAATTATTGTTTATAACTAATCCGACAAAAAGATAATTGTTTGTTTGGTTGTAACAATATTATATTTTAAAAGTAGGTAGGTATACGATGATACGAAAAGTGGACCTACGATCTGCGAATTAGTGTCGGCTCCAGCCAGTACCTAACTATGTATACAAATATATACATATTATTATACGCTAATGAAAAATAAGAAGAAAAATAATATTGTCCTACATCTTTATGTTATGATTCTATAAATTGTATATATTATATACAATATAATAAACATTGTAATACATGTTACAAAAAATAAACTTTATTTAATTTAATATTAATTTATGAAATATAATAAAATATTTTTCTGCCTTGCAGGAAACTTTGTATGCACTTTATTTTTAACTGTTAGGTCTCGTGTAGGAATGTACATTTTTTGCCCATTGTACTTATTGTGATTAATATTCCTTTCACCCACGGATCTACGGCGTGGGGATCTACATTGTTATATTGTTATGGGTTACTATAGGTAGCGTCGCGATTGTGTGTATATAATATGACAATGCCTCCGATGCTCAACTGGTGGTAGGAACCAACACCACGGCGGTCGCGACCACCACGGTGGCTCATAAAACTGAACACAGTGTTTAGTTCGACTTCGTACGCTAACTGTGCTATTAAATTTACAGTTTTCTCCTTCGTTTCAAACTTCGTCACGATCTTTTTGATTTTATTCAGTATTGTTGACTTACTCTTCACTCGAAATAATTTTCTCGATAGACCCACAACACGATGGAATACGCGGCAAATCTATTAATCTTGTTTGCCATCATTTCCTCTGTTGAGGTAGTCCCGTATGATAGATTTATCCAACATAATAAGTCAGAAGATTACAACATCCGAAACAATGGTGAGTAATGAGTAGGGTTCGGGACTTATTGCACACAAATCGTAGGAAATATACATGCATATATGCACTCAAAATAATCGAAGTATGCGCGAAAATATGCAACTGGATAATTTTTTAACAGACCTTAAACAATTTGATTTATTCATTTTAATTTACACAGTTTTTTTAAATTAGTATATTTTTGACAACAATTACGCTATTAACGATAAGTTGATAACCGATGTATACGCGAGAACAATTAGGTATTTCCGTAGTTGCCCTGTCCTGACTCGTTGTATGATTCGGCGGTATATTGACCGACGCATGAAAGTAAAAGAAATAATGTTAATCGATCTATCACTTGATCTATATCTATCGATGAAACAGTCCCTAAAGTGCACAACGCGAAAATATAAGATGGCGGCTAACGAGATTTTACAATTACACGATATAGTATATTTATATAGTATAATATTATAAACAGTAATAATATTATGTTAAATTTGACGGGTTGTTTTATTTCCGGGGGGGGGGGGGCATGCCTCCTCTAGAGCCGCCACTGCGAGAATATGCAATTAAAATTTTTGTTCGTCAATTCATCATGACTTTATACAAATGTATATCTTACTAGGACTATTAATTCTGCAGCCATTATTAAACAATATGCAAATGCGACAAGTCCCGAACCCTAGTAATGAGCATCATGTATCACTTTTAAATATGCTATAACTTAGAATTTATTATTAAGATTCTAAGCCAAAAATATGTTTATAATTTTTAACTATAGTTTATGTCTCTAAATAATTGATTTGAGTTATGTGTAAATGTGTAATTTGTGATTGTATAAATGTAAATTTGAATTCAATAGAAAATCATTATACTTATATTTATGAATATTTCTACTACTCTTTGTTTAAATAACTCTTAAGACATACCACAACCTGTTAAAATTAGGTTCTTCTAGCCATCCTCGCGCAATACTCTAAAATATAGTGGATCCGTTATCGATGGTAGGGTGTCCGGAGCACATTATTATGTTTTTTTGGTAGATATTTTTACGGGAAATGACATTAGGCGAACCACCAAAAGTCAGACCAAAACTTGTATTGTTGCTGAGTGCCTACATTTATATTTATTTTGACATATATTGTAATATGGTATTTGCATTACTGTGTGTTTCAGTGCGGGATAGTGTCAGTGGCAGTATATGTCCTCCATTTGGAAAAAACGCAAAATTCGAGGTAGAGACTATACAAACTAAGTCACCGATGTACGGATGTGCCTATATGGGAAATACAACTCAAATGACCACTGCTGAATCGTTCCATTTGTGGTTGGAGCGTCCTGTGGAAACAATGGCACATGGACATTGCAACAACATGCAGAGTACGTATAACAAATTATTATTGTTGCAACACAAGGGAGAGGAGCGGGGTGGTTGAGCCTGTGATAGCATTAAAGCTTGCTCCTGCTTAAACTAAAATATATAAATTACAAGTATATTATGTGCCTATTTCTTGTATATACTGAAATACACTTGAAACATACTATTGCCTTTGAATGTCATTACATGATCATGAATGTTGTGACAGTTTTCGGAAGAACTGATAATAATATTTAATACTCCTATATGCATTATACAACAATGCAACGATACTTCACATATTTAATAGGTATTGTAATAAACTACTATTTTAGTTAATCTCTTATTATAACTCTTTAATTTATATAATATCTCTGTACATATTTCTACGAAGATTACAATACCTACTTCTTTGTATAAGCAATATTTTTTGTTCTTTGGTGAGGTACATACACATACAGGTTTCAATTGACTTGTTTTTTGCACTCACATTTCTATACTATATATTTTATATTATGTAGGTATCTACTTTAATATGGAGTATAATATAAAATGTATTATAATATTATATTCATATTTCTAACTACACAATTATTCACTGGTATATAATATGCCCACCCAAACGTATTCATAAAAATAGCATTAAATATTACTTGTGTCAACAAAAATTATTAACAAGGTATGTTTATTTTTTTTCTCTTGTGTTCTATCAGATATGGACCATTTCATATTTGAGTGTGTGTCAAAAAATATCCCGATCAATAAATACGAAGTTGAATTGGGCTGGCAGTACATATCACTACTAGAACATACCGCTGACGAAAACATGCAAAACAAAACAAAGAAACGATTCCACAGATGTGCAGTAAGTATAATATTATATTTACATGTTATTTTATATTTTATATTGTTGAGGTAAATTAATCCGTGCAACCAATTTGATTATTCAAATTTTGGTGAGAGGAATGGGATGGGGGGACACGTAGTTGAAAATTATTCTTATACACTTAAATATATAGATTTTTCTATTTTACGAGGGTGGTTGGTGATATAATACCTACGTATTATTGGTATACCTACTTGGATCATTATATAAAAACTCGTATTTTCAGGTAGTAGTTTATTTTAATAATTAAAAACGAATTATAGGTCTAACTCGCAAATATTATAAAAGAGAATTATACGACCACACGCTAGCGCCTTCTTCAATATAATTTAACTTACAATTTTGCATACCTAGTCAAATTATTGAGGCTCTCGTATTGTATGTCTATATGTTACCGGAAATGTTGACAATTCCTAAAATCGGAAGGAAATGATATCATCGCCTAGTACGATATATCATTTCCTAACGATAGTAGGCAAAGATGCCACATTTTTTAAACTTAATCTGACTTATTTAAATACTATAGGCCGATAGCTATATGCGTGGAGTGAAGAATATTGAATAGCTCTTCATTTTTAACGAAATAACGTATACTGTCATTATCATGGTTCATGGCTTTAATTAAGCGTTCTTTATCATTTATTAAAATAACGTCGTACTTACGAATATTTCTATAATCTTTTTTGAATTTTGTTTGAGTCTTCTTCATTATTCATGAACGATTTGTTGTCATTACGTTTAGCAACCATAATTAATGAAATTGCTTTATTAAATTCATTTTGCATTTCATTTAAATCCATTTTTAAGCTTTTAACAAAATAAATACGTACTACTGCACTACTAATAACCTACTACTAAACGGATCGTGTTGAATGTACAGGTTATATATTAAACAGATAAATACTGCGATATGCGATATCCATGACATTTTTCAATCAACCATTTCATCGATATCAGTCATTTCCCCTCCTGATATTTTTAGATTTCGGAAAATATTGACAGTTGACACCAAACTTACTATTTTATGCCAGGGACACACATGCGTGTTTAAAATCGGTTATCGCAATCGACATAAACTCGTGTTTGATATAATTTCATGTCTCCGCACAGATATATAAAATAATTTTATAAGTTTATTTTATATACCCGTGTGTCTCTGTTTCTAATTTAATTTTAGTTTGACAGCATTATTAGTTCGATAGTGTCTACTATATAGAGTGTAAAGGAGTATAATATATAGTTTTATTTAATTAATTTATAATAATTATAATTTGTATCGAAACAATATTTAACAATTTTTACAGTAAAATATACTTTTTTAATATCATTTTTTAAATAAAATAAATTAATAATTGTCATTTTATGCATTTTTTTCATATATATTTTTAAATCATCGGGAATTGACGTAATTTCCTAAATTGTCAACATTTCCGATAACATATACATTCCCAAATGCCATTAAACGGTTTAATAATTCATAATATTTTACCTATTTTTTTTATCGAATAAAAAAATTTTCTATGTTAAACGTAATAATATCTAATAATCAGTGAGCAACTATCCTTGGGCATTTAAAAAAAAGAAATATACAGCCTAAATATAATTTAAGTTATTATAGGTATAATTCGTGTCACTGATTTGTTACACTAATATCACTCGTATATTAACTTTAATCTTGTCATAAAATCTGCAAGTCTTAAACACAACTTCATCGACGTTAATGGACTGGGGACGGATTTCAGTGTACTTATATTTATTTATATATTTGTCATGTTTAATTCATTTTCTTTCTCTCTAACTGTATTTTTCCATTCTGCCCACAGTTGTACGATATGAGAGACCAAGACGATAGGATGGTTAGAATAATCCGGATGGTGATTAGCAAGCCGATAGCAGGAGACTATTTTAATGTACGCCAATGCAAAGGGTTGTCGGAACTTTTGGATCGGGATGAGCTGCCAATCATCCCCGAGGGATCACGATATTGGCCCGATGGTTCCATGTATTTATATTTATTAGGAAGAAAGGCAAACAGCTTTATGACTACCAATAAAAATTCAGTAACTAGTCTTACAACTACCACCATCAGTAGTCCATCGACAACCACTATTACCAGTCGTCCATCGACAACCACTACCACCAGCCGTCCATCAACCACTACTATGACTACACTTCCCACAACAACTTCAACTACCACCGCTCATTATAGTATAGACGATTTCTTTCGTGATTTTATAATTGATAATAATAGTTAAATTTCATACAGTTTCAAATTGAAACTAATTTTTTTTTAAATTTCAAAACCTTATTAGTTGAATAATAGTTATATATAAAAAAACAACTAAGATTAATTTGATTAAAAAAATTCTTTAATGGTCTTGTAATGTATTATATAATGTATAACATGTATAATATGTATTAGTGTATGATATATGTGTAACTTACATTATCATAATATGCATATTATTTAATTTATAATTAAAAACATTTTTGTACAGACACATTTTAAAAGATGTAATAAAAATTAATCATCACCTACATTTGTATTGGATATTTTTTTTTATATTGAACGGTGTCTGGTTTTCATCCACTTTTCATAATATACTTTTTATTATAATCAAACATGTTAAACAGTTTTATAGAACTTAGGAATGAAATAAAAAAAAATAATAAATATTATTTTATTTATTTCCCATTAGGTTTTATGTACATTTTATTAAACGTTTTAATACTAAAAAAAATAGTACATATTACTCAGTGGGATAAGATAGTTAATAGGTAGTAAGATGGTACTAAGTTTTATATTTTAAATTCACTTGGATTAACTAATTATGATTCTAACACAAATATTGATTACAGAAAAAAACACACATGCACATCATTGTAAATACAATACATTCATGGCTATCCTCAGTATCTAAAATAACTTTGAATAGGTCAATACAAAATATTTTTCTTATAAACGATTATACTTACTTATAAGGGAAAAATGTATACTAAATACAACGATCAATAATTGTATTATATGTATATTAAATAGGAAGTTTAATAGAGAATAAAATCATTCATTAATTAAATATATCAAATGACAATTATAAACTGATTACCCTGAAGGTCATTATAATAAATAGGTAAATAGGTATATACTATATTAAATAACCTTGTGGTACCAACTATGAATGTAAAGTAAGGATGTTTAAATTTAGTTTGGAATTAATGTGAATGATAAATCAAACTAAAAAAAAAATCATATCATTCACAATTCTATTGTAAAATTCTAAATAAAAAGGAGAGCCCTTAAAAAATATCAGTTTTGTCATCTCTAGGTTAGATGCTGATTTTGGGGTTTTTTTTAAGTTCATTTGGTCATTGAATGAATAGAACTTAGTAAATCCATCAAAGGACAAGAGTTGCATCATTATTTGTATGTTTATTTGTACGGATTTCCCGCCAAGTTCAATAAGTTTATTTTTCTAAAACATAATAGAATTTTATATTTGAATAGTTATCCAATTTTCCAAAATAACCATATAATTGGGTATATACTATATCTATTAAAAAAGTTGAGCTAACGAATTTTTGTGATTTTTAGTTTAGTTTAAGTTTTAAGGAACCTTATACCTACACATAGTTGTATTCAATTTTCAATTTTCAAGACCATTTTATAACCTATAGGTACAATCAATTTTAAACACTCTAAATGAACCTATTAAAGTTCGAACAAAATCGGTGACACTAATGACCCTTTTAAGTTAAACATTAAGGTAAAAAATATTAAACAATAAAATATTATACCTATTTATGAAAGACGAATACGTGAAAACTAACATCTACAGTCAAACCTCTGAATAGTAGACACCACCGGGACTGTCAAAAATGTCCACTATTCGAAGGTGTAAAAAAAATATAACGTATAAGAATAATTGTTGTGGTTCCCAAATAAAACGTTTATAGGTGTCAGCTATTGCGAGGTATTTGTTATATACCTATAATTTAGATATATTATCTAGTTTAAAAAGAGTCCCCAGTTTTCAATATGGCTTCGAGAGTATCTGTGAACATATTCTATATTTATGACAAGAGTCCTACATCTTCACTCCGTGGTATTTATGCAATTAAGATGGCTAACGACAAGATAGAGGAAATCGAATTCAATTTACAAACTAGAATCGAAAATAGAAATGACATTGACATGATAACGAAGGAATTCAGCGCAGTAACCGTATACATCATGGAGAAAGATATTATTTTGAGGTTGACTGATTCCGGCGTAAGGGCAATAAACCCGAAAAGATCAAAAGGCGTCGTATTTGAAGTGGTTAAGGGTGTGATGGCCAGATTGTCGATTTTTGATGGTGTTGACGCGACATTATATTGTCCCACAAAATAAATTGGCCCAGCACATGATGCCGCGCTGAATTCTGATGTGGTGCTACCTGATTTCGCGACACTCATGACTAGAGATGAAATTGATGTTAAATTCGAAGAGCGTAGAAAACGTAAAGAGGAACTCGAGAGTGGAAGATTCACAACTCCTGTTAAAAACAGAACCTCAGTATCCAGTCCGAGTGTTATTTCAACGCGTCCCGTAAATGTATCAAGTCCAGCTGTGCACAAAAATGTTGATAGACGGGAGAAAGAAAAAGCGTTATCGAGCGCAATCGAGGATAAAATCAATAGCATGCGGATGGACGGCGATGATGACGAATCGGATTCGAAGAGCGATGGAGATGAAGATGAAGAAAATGAGAACTCTGATGAATTGCTGGCTCAAATTGCTTCACATTCGAAGGACGTTTACGTGTTTTCGAAATCTGAAGTAATTGACCATAGCGTTGAGAAGTTAGCTTCTCCCTACGTAGTGAACGGATTGTACAGATATAGCTTCGAGAAGAAAAGTGGCAAAATGACTTTCAAAAGGATTAAAGGTTCGGGGCTGTGTGCCGATTATTATAGAATTTTGCTTGCCGATGACTCGGAGATTATATTAGCGAAAGCAAAGTAGCTAAGTGATGAAGGGTGGTACACTGCTGAATGCAGACAAACCTTCAGTGGTGATCATTTCTTCCAGACCGATCTGATGCTATGAACGTTCTCTTTTTCTTCAAAATGAACGGGCCGGGAGCATAAAAAATATTACGCGTGCCCGAACGCCAAGGCTTTGGAGCACCACTTACACCTAGGGCGGAGAAATAATATGGAGATAGCTGGGTGTGTAGTGATGTAGTAGTTCAAACAGTAGTGGTCGGGGTTGCCGGGCAAATACTGTAGAACTACGTAATGCGTGTTGTGCGAAAAGTGTGTTTTTGAGTACAAATGTGTTTATATATGTGGGTGTGTGTACAATAAAACAATAATAATAAAATGGTAACACGGTTTTTGGTAATGAGTTGCTGTTGCTGTATAATACACAATAATAATGACACAAATATAAAAAATCACAGCAACACAAATGTATAAAATATAATATAATAAATAAATCAAAGCCCTTATGGCTCGACAGTATAATATTAAAATATAAATTAGCCCTCCTGGCCCAACAAAGGAAAATATGAAATAATATTATATTATATTATGGGCAGCTATTTAAGCTGTACACTTGTATAATGGTAATGATAATAATTTAATTGATTATAATATTAATACACAGCCCTTATGGCACGACAAAATAATAATAATTATACGGCCCTTCTGGCACGACAAATAATAATATAAAATATAAAAATAATATGCGGCCCTTTTGGCACGATAGTATAATGATTAGATAATATCTGTGGCCCTTATGGCTCACAAGATTTAAATGTATAATAAATAAATAATAACAAAAAAAAACTCACAATTTGTGGAGCGCAGACTGGCCAGCTGGTCCTATGCTATAAAAATATAAAATAAATACACGACAATAATATAATAAGTTAGGTAACAATAGTATAAATATCTGCAGCCTTTATGGCTTACAATAATAAATAATAAGCAAAAATGTCTTTGGTGATTAGCACCAAAAAACAATAATACTATATAAAAAACACCGGCGATTCGCGCACGGCAAAAAGGATATAATATAAAAATTATCACTTTAACTATTTGAGTCTGTAATTATTATAGTATTAAACAGGCACGCGTTAATATTGCTGCGGCAACGCTCGGTACAAGACAAAAAAAGGCACGGCGGCCGTGTTAAATAATATTTGCGTAGACGGCGCGGCGGCGGGCGATAACGTTTAATCTACATATTATATAATAATTCACAATCACATAATTAATACACAAAAACAATGAAACAAAAATAAATAATTAAAAATGTGATGATGTGTGTGTGACCAGCTATTCTCTATATCAATATTGTTGCGCGGCAACATTCTCCCCCCGGTGAAAACTTAGGTTTTCACTTTTTTTCCGTTTCATACACAGGCAATCGACAAAGCTTGATTACTGGCCGACGCATCTCAGTTTTATTGGCCGTGCGTATAGTTACCACCCTTATTCTTCCATCATTACCTGGATGAATGTCGATTACGCGAGCGAGTTTCCACTTAGCTGGTGGCATATTTTCGTCATCATTATATTATGTTGTCCCAGTAGGTTAGGTGTAGGATCTGTAAAATAGGGGTACCAGGTTCGAATCTGCCATAAACTAAATGGCAGTCAAATTAACAAACTGGTATGGAATAAGGAGAAAAAAATTTTGTTTATTTTTCCTGGACAATTTTGTATGTAAACTCTATGTTATGTTAGTGTGACGAAAATGGGTGATTGTACATGGAAGTAACAATGTGACGGAACATAGACTATAGTCTTGTGACGTCGCATGCACTAACTTCACAATACCGGACATTAAGCGTCACGGTAATGTCTCAGAGAAGTCTCTGAGTCAAAATTATAAACTTCACATGTCTCAATGTGACTACTATGTAATATCTATGAGAACATATTTTGCACACAGGGTAGGGTTTGCTGTGGCGCTCGCAGCGCTGGTCGATAGTTTTATCTTGCTTTTTAGTTTTTATAATAATAATAAAATGATTCGACCGTGAGATGATATAAACACCACATCAGTTATCACCGATGGGTTGCATATGTAGTAAAAAAAACATTTTCCAAAAATGTTCAAACGTTATACTATTAAATATTAATTACTTGTCTAGACGTTATTATATATTTAACATTAATCAATACTATTTTAATGGCTATCTGACACACCCATCTGTGGAATGCGGCGGTATTTAAGATATAAACTGTACCATAAGCGATTCAATTTTAC